GTTCCTTTTACATTTGCTGGATGTTTCAAATATTTTTCTAGTTTCTACTTTCCGAGTCAAAAATACGATACTCTGCTACGTATTGTAGTGTACGTATTATAGTGACGTCATGCACACAGATACAAAGCGTTTCTATTTGCCATGCTTCTTTCGATCTTCAGTATGGATCAGCCGCCGTGTAGTGAGCTGTTCTGTAAGGTATACATAGTTGGAATCCACGTGCCGTCATTGTCAGGCATGCACACAGTACGGTAGATTTCTCTTTGAGAGCCGAAAGAACCCGGACGTTTCGTCTGATTCAGATCGCATTGTTGCTCCCGCTTGCTCCGAATCTCGAATCCAGCTTTGCGATGGATGTGTAAGAATATCTGAAACGTAGCCGTTGGCGCACCATGAATAATCTCTCTTTACAGTTTGCAAGTTGCGTGTACGGTTAAAGCAATCTTTGTACACCGTAGATCTTTTTCTCGAATGTGACGTGAATCAATTATAGAATTATCTTTTCTTTTATATGTACTTTTTGAAAAATCTACTTTTAAGTTAATTTTTTATTTAATCATGCACACACTTTTTTTAAAGGTCTTTTATATTTTTAATCTATATTTTTTTACTTTCGTAAGGTTTTTTTTATAAAAAATATCAGAGAAATTATTTTATTAACCTTTAATTTTTTTTTACTTTAAAAACTTCTTGTGTCTTTTTTTTTTCGAATGTGACATAAATCAATGGAATTAGTTTTCACTTTGCATTTATTTTTCTACACTTTTACTCTTGCAAATTTTTTATTTATTTTCTTCTTGTAAAAATAACGAAGAAATTATTTATCAATTCTAACCTTCAATTTCTTAAATACATTTTAAATTGATTTCCACATTATTAATTTATTACAGATGAATCTGAAATATATCTTTAACGCGAAACTCAAATTCGAGATTACGGCGTTACTCCTACTTTTTATCGCGTCCATAAAATCGATCGTTTTCTTCGTCGTTATATTTATCTTATTATGGGGTGCCGTTATGATAACAGCACAGGTATTTTTCTATAGTTATCGGTTCCCGGACACGGAAGGAAAAAAAAAATCATGAATGAGCATCGGCATGCGCAAAGGGATGACTCACTCCCTCTCAACCCGCTGCTCTTCCCCGTTTTTATCACAGAGTATTTATATATATCCAACGGCTGCGTCTCTTACACGCGCGATGTTCGTAGGCAAAACACGTGCGCGACAGCGAAGAGCTTATACATCACCTTTTCGGCCCTCCAAATTTAGCCGCGGCCGTCAAGTCCGCGGGCTGTCAGCTGCCAAAAGCTCTCGTGAAAGTACACGCGTGGCAAAGAAGGTAGGATGACAGCGCGCATCGTTCCAGTTTCGCATCGTTCCAACGTGATTTCGTAACGTGGCACAAAGGGCAACGGAGCGTTGAAGGTGGAACGATGAAGAAAAGAAGTCGAGAAGAAAAGGGCCGGGCCGAATGAACCGTCCCTTTCGTCATTCTTTCTTTCCTCCTCGTCACGCACGTGCGCCAATCCTCCCGAGATACACCGATCGTTTTGACTGCAGCCATTTATCGTCGAGCTCTGTGCATTGAAAGATGCTGCTTAACGCACACTGTAGAGATATTCTCTATATCTCTCATATTGATTACGGCTCAGTTTCACAACTCATGATTAACTCTTAATCGAGGTTCAACTTGTTTCTCATCTTTTTCCAATTCTAGAATTGAAAAAAGATAATGAATAAGTTGAACCTCGGTTAAGAGTTAAATCAGAGTTTGTCAGTTGTGATGAACTGGGCTTACATGAGTTAAATTATTATATACGAATGTTACATAGAGAAAAAGTCTGGTAATAGCTGTCAAAGGTTGAGTGAAATAATTTCAATCAAATGTTCGATTAATAGAATTTTATTTTTCCGCCCGAAATAATTTTACTTTTTTAAATATTTAATAAATATTATCAAACATAATAACATAACCAATCATTTGGCAATAATTACTAAATATGTAGAAAAGTAAAATTATTTTTTATTAATTGAACATTTAATTGAAATTATTTTACTCAACGTTCCATAGCTATTACAAGACTCTTTTCAATGTAAATCGATCGGCCGACTAGTTTCGACAATTGTTAAAAATAATTGAAACGAATATTGCATTTCACATTAGAACGGCCGATGTCATTTTGATTTCGCTTTGTTTCAATTCTTTTCTTTTTTGTATTAAATATACAATACAGAATATTGAAAATATGTAAAAATAATAGAAATAATTTTGATTATACAAATAAATTTTTTTTTAGCGGAAAACGAGAATAGGAAATTACCACCAGATTGACACTTTTAAGCAGGATATCATTGACATTCTAGTGTTAAAGCAAAGACGTAGATATATGTACACAATTTTCTGGTTTTCGTATAAAGGGCGGTCTTTGCAGTATTATGCTGCATACAAAGAATGTATTTCAGCATCGTTTGAATGAAAAATTCGCGGCAAAACGCGAAGGGAACAGTAACGAAGGGATATAGCGTGGGACTGTCAACGCCGATAAATATCTCGCGACGAAATTGCGCTCGTTTGACGCTTTCATGAAAAAAAGAGAGAGAGAGAGAGAGAGAGAGAGAGAGAGAGAATGGAGAAAAAGCAACGTGTAGTCAACGTGTAGTTCGGGTGTTTGCGCGAGAACGAGGAAGAAATATCGTTCGTTCGCGCTGGCGAACGAATCTCATCGACGCGTAGTCGGCCACGCGAAACTTTTTCATTGCCGTGGCTCGCGCGATTTACAATTTTCATTTCATACCGCATTAACCTCCAAGTGAGTTTAATTTGAATCGAGCTCCTGGAAGAGAAGCTTTATTTCTCCTTTTCGCCGGCGGCGTACAATGCATAAACGAGCATCCGCCAATCCGCGCCACGGCGGTCGGCCGGCCGGAATTTTTTCAATTAATGGCTCGTGTTGTTTCGAGATGTAACCGTTCGATGTGGGAGTGACGAGCGCGCGGATGTGGCCATAAAAATATTGCGAAATGCCCGGACTGACGATTGAAACGAACCATTTGTCCGCCGCTGATGGAGGAAATTTACGTCGACGCAATTTTGAGTTTCGATGCGTGCGTTACCGTTCCTGACTCTTTCGCGATGGGAATCTCTACGCTATGCGCTACCTTACGACGCTGCATTAAGCTTGATGAATATTCATGATACATCTTTTGGTTTTTTTTTTGTATTTGAATAGATTAAAATTTCATCCTTTTCAATCTACGCGAGTTATCTGAAGTATTATCGTATAAGTATTTAAAGAATTTAAAATTTGTGCTTGTCAAATAAAATAATAGTGTATTTGTGCATTTGTGTGTGTATGTGCACAGAAAGAATGATTTTCTTAAAGTAAAATAGTGTCAAAAATTTAGTTAAATATCTAGCTAATTTTTTTATATTATTTTATATTTTAATTGTGCATTACAAATTTCACTCATAAAAGAAGGCATTTAGTTTTAAGATATTAAAATATTTTATTTTCCTTATCTCCGTTTTTTAAATAGGATACTTAAAGATGTTTCAGTTTTAAACGAGCATACAAAACACTAAAGAGTGTCTTATTTGATAGGATATATAGATGTTTAACTTGTCAAAGTATATTATTTTGTAACACTCAATGTCTAGTTTTAAAAAGTATTTTAAAAAACACTAAAAGCTATTTTATTTTGTTTAGTTTCTAAAGTTTAGTTTCTAAAGTTTAGTTTCTAAAGTTTTTTGCCTTTGAAAACGCCGGAAGCTGTTTTACTTTAGGTAATATTTAGTTTCTATGAGAACCAATTAATTTTATTTCATTCAAGTTTGCCAGTTTTGCTGGCCACAATATAACATAATACAGGTGAATGTATATCGATTCTTCTTTACGAAAAAAATTTTCAACTCGACACCATCTCTCATGTTCTATACGAAAATATTTTTTAGCGTTGCAAAAATAATGTTTTTACGTTTCAAAATATTTCACCTTCGTACGTTTATTATCGGTAAGATGTTTCGTTTTTCGACATGCGAAGGAAACATTTAACTGATAACAAAACTTTTTTTTGTTTAAGAAAGAAAATAAATAAACTGTTGTCTAGCGTTTTTTAAATAGTTAAAAGACTATTTAAATTTAAAATATACTAAAACATTTGGAACCGAAATATTTTTTTTATTATTAAACCTTATTTTGAAAAATCCATTTTAAATGTAAACATTTTTAACACTGCACTTTTTATAGTGAAATTGCTAAAATACCACATTTTGCAGTATTGGCCATTATACATTTGAGCTATATAATAATTTTGATAAGTTTAATAATTATTTTTAGAACTGTATTTAACTTTTTAGATATTTTAGCAAAATAATTTTTTCCATGTACGCTACAGCGATGATAGCGCATTGTATTTAATAGTAGACTAGCAAGCTGACGTAATCTAGTTGAAGAACATGAGATATCTAGTATAATATTTTTTCGGCATATGAAATTTGTAAACAAATAAGAATGATTTGTGAATAGAATTATTTTGCCTGCGATACCGCGGTCTAACAATGATAAGACACTGATAAGTAGATACACGCAGCTTCAAGGTAAGCTGTACATTATGCACGAAATCTGTGACACAGTATGATAGGAGCGAGCTACGTTTCGCCATCAACATTCATATATTCGGCCCCGAATCCACACCCTCCGGAAAATCAATACTTAATGAAATCAATGTCGAGACACATCGCTCTATCCGGATTTGCTTCCTGGTCTGGGAGACGCGTTGATGGATTTATCGCGGATAACAACTGTACGAATCACGCTATTTTTGACGGTTCCTATAATTGCCTTTTGCAATTTGTCAATTTACTTCCGGCAACAAAATTGTCACCTATTACAAACGCTCTGATTTCCCAAATAAGAGAGAGAAAGAGAGAGAGAGAGAGAGAGAGAGAGAGAGAGACACTACTATATAATTACTCACGATGCTATGCCTTTTCCAGAATTTCGAGAAACGGTTGCAAAACAAGGAATCGCAAATGCTTGAAAAAATATGGGTAAGAATTTCAGAGCATTTGCTTTCGCTTGAAATTAAAGCATTCGTACGATGTGATATGAATGTTATAATTAAATACATGCTTGTCTGGCTAAATTGTTGACTATCATGACAACTTTGATGTTTATATGAGCAGATATTTGAAAATATTTTACCAAGAAAAAATAACAAATTATTTGTGTGCAAAATATAAGTTGCTTTCACTACATATCTCTTAAAATGAATGCCTTTTCTTTTGTTGACAACATTTGAATTGATTTCAATAATAATTAATCGATATAACTAATATTATATTTTTTGTATTAACCATATTTTATGCTGGAACATAATCATTTATCTTACCCTTGGAATGATCACATTACGATCGTGTGTGCAGTGTACTGTTATTTTTAAACTTTTATATTACAAAATGTCGCGTTATCTTTAACGACACGAAAGCCACTACAACTATAATGGCAATTCTGTGCAGTCGAATTTTCTCTTCAGAATCCTGTTGCTCGCAACACGTGCACCGGGTTCTCTAGTCCGCATGAGTATTAGCTTGCGGTAATTTCGAGAACGTCTGCAACGAGGGGGCGACCCAGGTCCCAGGGCAACGCGCCATCCTGACGTTGAAGTTTTAAGGCCGACAACGGCAGCTGCGTCCCAATTCGAAGCGCGCGACCGTGTAACGTTGCTTTTACGAGGCGTATTTACGAGGCTGTGCTCGCAACCGCGTTGTCGTGCCACGCCGGCGAATTCGAAGAGTTTCAATCGTGCCGCACTGACGATGCATTTGTATTCCGGCGGATTATACGGATCCTGGCTGTCATGGGATAGAGTCCATTGCGCGACTTTATGGAGAAAGCGGGCCACGGTCGGGATATCGTGGGACATTAGTATCTTTGCGAGAAATCGAACAGCGATTCGCTCGAGACGTGAATATATCGCGAGCGAATTTTGCGACTCCGATCGCGAATTGCCGAGGGAATTGTGCGCGAGGTCGAATGGTGCATGAGAAAAGTCGTCGGCAAAGGGAAAATTATATAGGAGCGTTCCCATGAACATTACTTGAAAGTGACTGCCGCTTTTCCTCTTTACAAAATCCTCTCCTTTAGTAAAGAGAGATAGAAATCATTTCCTTTACAAAGAGAGAGGGAGGGAGAATCAATTAAACCTTAATTAATTGAATAGTTTATGTGAGTAATTCGTTGTCTTTTTGTCTTTTATATATTTTAAAAGATTAGCTTTCAAACTTTAATTAATTCACAGTACAGAGAAACAATATGATGAGTTAATCCAGAATTAATATAGAAAATTCGATGTAGCGAAACAATAGCGATTAAACACATTCCCTCTGATAAGAGTTAATAATTACACTTTTAATATAAAAATTCAATGAAAGATGAAAAAAAAATTACCGTACAATTGATCATCCTGAAATTATATTGCCTTTGTTTCTCATACTAATTTACATCTGGACTTCCTGATTAAACTATAATTTATACTGTTAATATCGCGCATATATTTTCTGTAATAAACTATTGCGGAGGGAGAGTCAGATGTTGTTACAAATTATTATCACCACAAATTCGCATTTATATATATGGGCACAAAGTTAACTCGATCCACCGAGTAAATGTCATTAATTACCAAAATTAATCAAAGGGAGAACGCGTAGTACCATTGCATTGCCACGTATCGCGACCTGGACGGTCAATATAATATGCCGCGCGTGTTTTCCATCGGCCGCGTCTATTTAGTTTTCCCTTCCTGACTTCCCCACTCAGTACGCACTCCGTTGTATACGCAGCGTGCAATTGCGAGTCAGCTTTGTACTATTTTACTCGTACGGAATTCTGCAAACACCGCCGGGGAGAATGCTCGGGGAGAATGGTCGGATATTTGCATGGCTTCGTACGAATAAACTAGTCCGAAGTGGATAATAACGTGGAAGTTGCGCCTAGATCGAGAAATTGCGTCAGTAAAAATCAGCCAAGGGCTCGTATAAGTAATAAACTGGGATAACGTACAAGCTTTGCGGCATGTAATTTTCCGGATTTAATGATTATTGGCGATCCTTTGAGGCTAACACGACGTAGGTTTCATTCTGACTGTGCATTACGCAAGAATCGTGAAATATACGGAAAAAATCTCCCCGAACAAAGAGATTTTTATCTTACGAAATGTGCGTTACTCACTACGCTTAGCGTACAAATGCGTGCAAAACGCTCGCGGCTGATAAGCGAGCGGGGGGGGGGGGGGGGGGGGGAGGGGGTGAGAGGGGGAAACATTTTCATAACGCGACGGGAACTTTTTCCAATGCTATCAAGAGGCTGGGGGAAAGTGGAAGAGAAAGAGATCGGCGACTGTTCGCTAGATGTTTGCCAAAGTTCGGCGCGTGTGTGCTCGGCGCTTTTTGCTCTCCCCCTTCGTATCCTATCTTCTTCTTCATCCCTCGCAGCGTCCTGCTCTGGGCCTCCCCCGCGCAAACAATGTGATGCGCGCAGCTGCGGCTCTCCCGACGGAGTGACTTTTTTCCGCAAACAAACCGCACTGCCACCCCCTCAACTGCGTTCCTCCCTCAACGTGAGGGTGAAAGGGGGAGGGCTGGATGGAGAGAGAGAGAGAGAGAGAGTTGATTTTCCTCTCGCTTAAATATTCGCCGGCGCAATGTCGGCCGGGCCTTGCCGACCGGAAATGCTCTCCGCTGCCGCGGACGTGGTCTGTCGACGGAGCGAAATAAAAGAAGCTAGTAAAAAAAAAGGAGGAAAAGATCGGAGAGGAAAAGAGAAAGAGAGTCCGATGAACATCGCGAGCGCGGAATTTCATTTGCGCGACTATTCTCTCTGTTCATTTCAACCTGATGTATCTCGCGGTGCGATGCCCTCTTGATGGACGATGTGCATACTATAAAGAATCGACTTGCTGATCCGCAATTTCTCGAGGTCGGCGAGTCTGACGTGACCACCGATTTTCATAGTTACGAAACACCTAGCTCTATAAAAGGATCCTAAAGTCTCCATTTTATCGATTCGGTAGGCTACTATGTTTTATATTATATATATATACATACGATTTATGTTATTGACACATTATTGTTCAATAATGCACGCATACAAATATTTTAATTTAATTTATAATTAATCTTTCATATTATTTAAATCTAAAAATTCAACATTGTTTATGTCCCTATAGTCCAAATCCAGATAGTTTTATACGTATAAAATATAAAAAAATATAAATGCATATAAAGCAAATATATTGTTACGAGTCGACATCAGAAGCTAATAACAGAGTTATAATTTTCTAATTTTTTGTTTTTGGCATAAAGTCGATCGGTTTGGACATTACTTTAATTGTAGAAAAGAATTTTTTAATCTATATGTATATCTATAAAGGCAGTTAGAAAAATATTTATTTGAAGAATAATTGATAAAATAGACAACTTCAGGATCTTCTTGATCCTTCTGTCATGCATGGCTACCTATATCGAATTTTAAACAGTAAAAATTTTTATATTTTTGCGTGAATTTTGTATTATGATGCCTCAAAAACCTCATCTTTTGAACAACGAAGAACGGTTTTGTACGGATTAAGAGTGCTATTTTATTTATGCATTTTTGTCGTAAGACAAATTTTTCAAGCCTGTTAATTAGTTATATGATCGAAAGATCCAAGGGCCTCTCTGTTCTGCATACATTTGTCGACAAAAACGCACAAATGAAATAACACCCTTTGATAGTGTTCAATAAAATTTTTTAATATGATTAACTTTGCTTTTAATTCCTCACTGAATCTAAATGTATGAATCAATTCATATGTAAAAAAATCATAGAAAGAATCCTAACGATTATAAAGCTGCGTTTTTTTTTGTTGGACAACCATTGTCTCGTTTTTACTTTTACATTTTTTATGAAAAAGAATCTTGTGAAACACGATTTCAAAAGGTGAAAAACTATGCATTGACAGAAGAATTAATCCTGTCGTAATTAACGAAAAACGTTATACACTGTTAAATTTATAATTATACTCAATTTGAACTATTTTTAATCATTTCTGTAGATCGCCGCTTCATCTATTCAATATATCATTAATTTAACTAAAACAATGGAGTTAACAATTTAACTCGAGGAAATATATTAAATTTTATTAAAATTTAATTTATTATTTAAGTACAAACGTGTTAATACGTGATATTATTTAATCCGAAACCGAATAGATTGATATATATTTTGACATACCTACATGGAAATTAAAAATAATAAAATATTATTTAACTCAAGAGATTGGATTGTCATTGCTCCTTTGATATTTAACAGTGTATACTCCAGATTTCACGATTAATTTATAATCTGTCATTTAGACTAACATTTTTGTAAAATTGCACAAAATATTGTAAGCTGAAAAGCATTATAATTGGAAAAAGATACTCGGTGCTTGTTTATTATAATTTCATTATCTTGATTCTCTGAAAATACATTTCACGAGAAGAAATTTCCAACAAGTTCTGCAACTTTTGAGTTTTCAAACATTTCACATTGAAGAATTGTACGATCGTGCATATTACGATCTCATCCATAAAAGTCGCGATGCGCCGATGCGGTCTTTGGAACTTTGTCGGAAACCTGCGAGACATCCCGCAGAAATGCATTTTGTGGGAGAATTTCCATCAAGTTCTGCAACTATGGAAGTTTCGGGTCGTCTAAAATTTCGCAACGAACGATCGCCTGATCGATCACGATTCTCACAAATATTGCCTTCGGTCTCATCTAGAAAACTTGAAAATCGAATTGTTTTAAGATTGAGCAGGATAAGTCTAATAACCGATCGTGCGGGATGTCACGTGAAGGGACGGAAATAACTGACGTCATTGAAAAGATTTGAAAGATTGAAAAGATTTAGCGCATAAATAAGATGCGTCATTCAGTATTGATGACCTAATAGAGATCGCTCGTTACGAAACGAGGTTACGTCTTTCGCCGACGGTTTTATGCCTTCTCTGCTTACAAATCTAACGGA